CCATATTTTTGACAACTACCCAAATGCTAACCCTGAGCTCCAAGGCCCAGTCCCTCAACGCTAGCTGTAGGCAAAGCTTTTGCCGACTACATCTTCGGCATGGACACCGGTCGCCCGGCTGCGCATTGTAGGGGCTTCTTAACTATCTGTCATCTCTGAATCTCCCAAAGGGTGGGTTTTGGACATGTGGCATAGTTCAGGGTTTCGGGGATGCGCATGGGCACCCAGGTCACAAAGAAGAGACTGTTTTGATTGAGGTGAGCTCCCCAGCGAACTTCCGAGCGAGGCTTATCTTGAGCATTTCGCGCAGGACGGAAGCACCGAAAAGGGAACATCACTCCGTGATACGAAACTGAGACCTCGTCATCGTGGTCTGCTTCAAACGAGTTTTATAGCTCGAGATTAACAATAGAGGAGGGTTTTCACGACATGAGGTTTCCTGAAATCAGGTGTACTTCATTTCAGGGTCCTATCTACTAACTTGGGTCCCTCGTTTCTGAAACTCCCATAGACTGACGAGGCAGATTGGTCGTGGTGGTGATTCGGATGGAGAACCTCGTAGCCTCAACCCTGCACTCCAAACCCAGGCCCTTGTAATCAGCGCCATGCTCTGGCCAGGACCATGGCTTATCCCGGTTTGCCGTCAATGCGACGATGTCCATGATCGGCCGTGCAGTGCACCCGCCTTAGAATCGGAAGTTTCAGTTCTTTAAGCGCTAGTCAGCGAATGCAAGTGGGGGTTTCCCAAAATAGGGGACCCTAATGTAGTACCCTAAATAGTAGGATCCTTATTATAAGGATCCCAAAAATCAGGTACCCCTAATTTTCGGAAACCCCAAGCGTGCATGCCAATGTCCGAAGGTCCCAGCTTTCATCTGGAAAGCCGCTTGCTGACGCCGTTTTTGGCTGCGATGTCAGCCACCTCTCGATCCCTAACAAAGTGGTCATGGCCGGGACGCAGTCATCTGTGGCGAGGTGACGAAAAGTGCTGGATGCATTCATGTTTTCGTTTGCTTGCTCAATATTCGGCATGCGTTCGTGCACCGGCTGCAGGCTTTCATGACGCACTATCCTGCAGCAGCGCGGCTGTTTTGAACGCCTTTTTGGAGCCTCATGCCCCCCTGCCCCAGCAAGACAGCAAGAGGGCTCTACAGCCACAGGTCCTTCATGGTGTACCGAGTGCAGCATTCACTGCTTTGCTTCTGCGGGCATTAGTCCTCGGCCCATTGCTGCAAGCCATGGCGGTGCCAACAGATATGACCGGCACAAAGCTGGCAGAGACGCCCTTCGACTGTGACTACTTAATCCAGCTGCCGCTGGCCTCTGTGCTAGCTTCTGAAAGAGAACACTGCAAAGCCTCTGAACGACTATGCGCTCCTGATTTCAAACTCTCCCCCATGCCACACGGATTCTGGCTTCCCGTGTAGATGCAAGGTTCTCTGCTACGAAGCCTCTGGGGCTCCGGCCAGAGGTGCAGGGCACTGCTTTGCTTCATAGCTCCTAGCCGCGACCATAAGCTGCCATGAGGGACCACTCATGTTGCCATGCACCATCCTGTGCTGCAACTCGTGCTGCGCAACGCATCTTCCCGCAATCCGGAAAGCTTCTCTCGATAACCTCGAACCCTACGTGAAATGAAGTGGTGTGCAGATCACTCCGTGCATGATCTTCGGCCACAGCAGTGCCATCCCCTCAGAGAGCAAAGGCTTGTGGGGCTTTGGGGAATCGAGCGCTCCGGGTTCAGGAGCTGGCGTTGCAGAGCTCCAGGTCTGCAGGGGTTCCAGAGACTGCAAGGTTTGTTGTGCTCAAGCCGAGATCACCTGGGAGTTTCCGAAAATAAGGGGTACCTTATTCTGGGGTCCTTAGAATATGGATCCTACTACTTGGGGTACTCCATTAGGGTCCGCTATTTTCGGAAACCCCCACCTGGGAAGAGTCAAAGCCGCCGGCAACGTGCACAGTAAGGGGTCGCAGAGTCTGCACAATGCCGATTTCTCCTTGAGATGGTCACGACTGAGGCCCTGGCTGAAGCAGAGGGTCCGGCCCCAAGAGCCTTTGAGGTCTTGGCAGTAGGCTTGGGCGAAGGGAGCCCCGAAGCCCAAGAAGAATCTGCCGGTTCCCGGATCTTCAACGGTCCGATAGCATGAGCCCCAAGGTCACTTGAGCAAGGGCGCCTTTGATGCTGCCATCCCTGCTGCGGAAGCAGTGCGGAACGAGTTCCAAGCTAAAGGCCGATCGATGTCTGCGATTGCGAGCCACAGCCGGAACTTGGAATTGAGTAGGCAGAGTTCCGTGATCCAACATGCAGCATCAGTTCGAGGTATTTCGCTGTGGCGTTTGTGCTGCAATACCGGTTTTGATGAGCATAGGGTGCAGCACTACCCAGGAGAAGTCCGTCTCAGAGCTGTCAAATGATCAGTACATCTGCTGCAACTTCCGAAGGCTTTTCCAGGACTCAAGCTTTGCCACAGGTAGGTTCAAATACTTGTCAAAGATGACCATACCGCTGGGGGCCGCGATTACGGCTCCATGGAACTACACGCTGATCCGCCATGCGTTGCGATGGCTCAAAGGCCGCGAGGTGTTAGCCGAGCGCCTGGCGTTTTCAGAAATAGGCTCGCGGCCTACTTCTGAAAACGCCAGGCGCTCGTCTAACACCTCGCGGCCGTCCATTGACATCGTGATGTTCATTCTGTGGAATGCAACATCGCCATGGGGGTTTGTCTCGAGCTGCTTCTCTGGTGGATTGACATCTTTCCATCTTCTGCGAGACAGACACCATTCCGTGTAAGCTGTGCTCTGCGCAAGTTTTTGGAGACTGGATTGCAACACATGTGGGGCCTGTGTTGTCGTGTGCCTGCACGGTTCAGTCCATCCTTCTGTTTGCATCTTTGCACGCTCGCCGGTCCCGGAAATCCGAACTGGATGCGCTGCGCAAACTCGCTGTGCAAAAAAAGAGCGCAGAGGCTGCCTGCATGTATTGTTGGAATGTGCACGTGTTTTCGAGCTCCTTGTTTTGCTTGCTCAGTTCTGAACTCTAAACCAAGTCTTGAGGGCAGCTGAAATCCTGCAGAGTGCAAGCCGAACTCTTCTCAGCAAGGGCTCATTGGTGCCTGCTACTGCAACAACTGTTCTCGTGAAATCACCTTCATTCTACAAGTAGGTGTTGCCGCCTTTGCTGCCTCCGCGGCTTCTGTTGATAGGGCTAGGATTATTGCTACTCCCACCTTCTCCTGCTCCTACTCCCAGTCCTACCCGCTCCTTCCCCGCTCCTACTCGTCCTACGCTTACTCCTACTGCGACTACTACTTCTACGAAACTGCTACTGCTGCTAGTACTGGAACTAGTACTGATTGCTAGTACTATTTAGTACTGCTGCTGCTGCTGCTGCTGCTGCTGCTGCTGCTGCTGCTGCTGCTGCTACAACTGCTACTGCTACCTCGCCGCTACTTCCACCAGACGGCTGCTGCTGCCACCGCTGCCGCTTCGGCTACTGCTACTGTTGCTGCAACCACTACTGCTACTGCCCGCTATTACTACGGCTGCTGCTACTGGCACTGCTACCAGGTACTACTGCTACTGCTTCAGGGACGACGAGCCGCGGAAGAGATTGTATCTAACGTGTTTCTTGCGGTTCGAGTCCGGTCCGATATTTTGTACGAACTCAGAGAAGGGTTGCAAATAATTTGTCGAGACTTCCAAGCATTCCAAGCCTAACTATATTCCGTGAACCTGGAGCCTAAATCGTATAACCTAAACCCAGATTCCTAAACCCTAAACTCTAAACTCCCAGAAGTTTATCTTGCCAAAATCCTTTCGAGAGAAGCTTGGAAGGTGACGCGGTTGGATCTGCACATGCCGTCCGAGTACTTCTCCTGGCCCAACTGCAGAAGGCTTCAGAAATGCTGAAAATTGGGTCTAGCTATATAGGGTTCAGGGTTTAGGGTTTAGGGTAGTCAGGAACCCTAAGTATTAGGTACTGCTCAGGCCCTATATTGGGGTGAATGCTGTTGCCTGCCTTTGTGGGGGGGTTTTCGGGGCCTGGCTGGCCATTCCTTAGCCCCTGTGAAGACCTCTATCAAGGGAGCAGGGTTTATTGTGACCCATAAACATTTATCATCGTTGCTATTATTATGATTGTCGTTAGTTTCATTGCTCATGATGGTTATCACGAGTAACTATTACAACTATATTGGTTTCGGAGCGGAAAACTTGGCTTGGAGGTGATCGCCTCGGAGGATGACGATGTGCCAGCCGTCACGGCTGAGTCGACTCTGACAGAGGCGGAGAAGGAGAGCGGCTGGGTTCTCAAAGGTTTAGCCTTTGGGGCTGAGGGTTTAGGGTTTAGGGACGTCTCTGTTTTACTGGTCCGTTGGACATGAGAATTGCCTGCTTCGCTCGTCCATCTATCTCTTTCAACCGTGTTTCTCTGCATACGTATGAACATATATGTATGTACGTACGTAGGTATGTATGTATGCTTGCATGCATGATCTCTCTCTCTCTCTCTCTCTCTCTCTCTCTCTCTCTCTCTCTTTTTTTCTTTTTTTATACTATAAATATATATATATATATATACAT